TAGTCTCTCTGTTAAATTTCTTTGATAGGCTTCTGAATTCCCTCTCTATATGTCCTGACATTCACTGAGCTTCTTCAGGACAGTTATTTTGAATTTTTTGTCTGAAAGTTCACCTATCTCTATCTCTTCAGGATTGGTCACTGACACTTTATCCAGTTCCTTTGGTAAGGTCATGTTTTACTAGGTCAGCATTTTCAACCTGTGGGTCATGACCCACAGGAACTGTAATAAAGGGCCATAGCATTAGGAAGGTTGAAAACCACTGTCCTAGATGTTCTTGATGCTTATAGATATCTGTTAATGTCTGAGCACTGAAGAGTTAGGTGTTTAATCTTCACAGTCTCAAGTTTGTTTGAATCCATTCTCCTTGAAAAGGCTTCCCATGTATTCAAAGGAAATTGAATGTTATGACGGAAGTCTTTGGTCACTGTAACCACATCAGTACTGGGGGTGCCCCAAGCCCAGGAATGCTGTGATTCTTGCAGAATCCTGGTGATACCATCTTGGCAGACTTGGATAAGATGTGGAAAAATTCTGTAAATTACTAGACAAAGTCTGACACTCCCTTTCCTCACTCTCTATGCTGGGCTGACTATTAGAGTTGAGGAGTGATGTTGGTTCTCCTTCAAAACTACCACAATTGGAACTGTGCCAAGTCATACCTGAAGCCATCCCAGTCTCACCCAAAGCCAATGGTGACAGTTTCCTGGCTACCTCTGATGTTTATTCAAAGCCCAAGGGCTCTTTAGTGAACAGGAAATGGATCCTGCCAGGACTGAGTTCTTCCCTTCAGGAAAGCAAGTTCCCTTCTGGACAAGAGTACATCCAGACGAGCCTTCTGAAAAGTAAGGCCTGGACTCAGGGCCTTCAGGGGTCTACTTTGTGCTTTATTTTACTGTGGCTGGGCTGGTGCCCAAGTTGCAAAGCAATGTCCTCTGAACTTTCCTCTCTCCTTTCCCCTAGTGGAAGAACACTTTCACTGCATTGCACTGCCTGAATTTGAGTAGGTGGGGCTTGACTGCTACCACTGGTGTCTCTCTGTGTCATATGCTCCTCACATCTACTGGCTCCCAACCAGCACAGCCATAAGACTTGCCCAAGGACTGCAGCCTTTCCTGCCCAAGGTCTAACTGCCTTAAGAATTTTGTCTGGGCCATAGGCTACTTTTTGTCAGCCAGTGGTGAAGTTATTGGGAACTCAGCTTGTAGGACACAGGATTTCTCTTAAGCCAGATGGATCTATATGCTCCCTCCATGGGCACCAGCAGAGTTCCAGTTTCCAATGCAAAGTCCCATAATTATTTCATTCTTCTTCCACCAGGCACACAGATTTTCTCACCACTGGGGGTGCTATCACAAGCACTGCCTGCAGATGAGGGAGGAGTGGCCTAGAAGATGCCAGACTGTCTTTTCTGCTCTCTTCTGTGCCTCTTCCTTTATATCATATAGCAGGTAACCAGATTGCTCACCTGACTTTTGGTTCTTTTGAAGGTGCTTCCTGTGTGAATAGTTGACTTTTGGTGTTCGTGTGGAGGGATGATCACTGGAAGCTTCTATTTGGACTTCTTGCTCTGCCCCCTTGAGAATCACTTTAATTTCTTTCAAGAACTTTTGCTTTGCTTTCACAACTTGGCTAACTACTTGGCGCAAAAGGCCTGGCTTTTGGCCTGTTTCAGATTTCAATTTTCCTTCCTTACTAAGCTTAATCATTTCTAGCTTTTGAATTCAATTGAGAGACATAGGACTCTTCCTTTCACTTGAACACTTAGAGAGTATTATAGAGTTCTTCCCTGGACTAATTTCAATATGGCTGTGTCTCACGGAATAGGGAGGCCCAGAAGAGAGCAAGAGAGATGGGGAATGGCCAGTCGATGAAGCAGTCAGAACACACCCAACTTTTGTTAAATTTGCTGTCTTATGTGAGTGCAATTTGTGGTGCCCCAAAACAATTTCAATACATCATAGGATACGAATCACAAATCACAATAGATATAGTAATAATAGAAAAGTTGAAATTTTGTGAAAATTACCCAAAAGTTCAGAGACACAATATGAGTGTATACCCATGCCATTGGAAGAATGGCACTGATAGGCTTGCTTGACTCAGGGTTGCCACAAACCTTCAACTCATAAAAAACACAGTACATGAAAAGCACAAGAAAGTGAAACACAATAAAACAAGATAAGTTGGTATACAGATATAAATAACGAAGTAGTATTTATTCTTGAGGAAGGAGAAAATTCTGTCATTTGCAACAACATGGATGAACCTGATTATGCTGAGTGAAATAAGCCAGACAAAGACAGACAGATACTGCATCATCTCACTTAGATGTGGAATCCAAAATG